AGAGATGGGGTGTATTCCCACAGCTGGTTTAGATGCTTCTGGGTTTCTCCCAGTCATACTTCAGATGCTGGGCAAGGCACCAAGCCGTACTGGACTATTTGTCCTTCACACATACTAAATTCGTTACGAGATGAACGAGGGGAAGGAACTAAGGCTATTTTGTCAATACCAACACACCAAACCCGAAATAGGTAACTAGAAGTTGAAATGGCAACCTCAGTGGGGAGAAGTCAGTAAAAAATGTCTATTTTGAAACGCTGTTTTGAGCTGATGCTGAATTCCTGTATTTTCACTTCTCCACGTGTGCCTATTCTTTATTCTAATCATCTATTTGCTGTAGATCCAAAGTAATTGGTACGGAAAGATGTTAGCGAGAACAGCAACGAAACCCTCCAGTTTTAGAATAGTACATATGTTGCTCTGGCCAGAAGGCTTGGTTGGCACACCAAATGGTTGCAGATTTGATCCCTGGTCAGGACACGCCCAGGAGGCAACCGGTAGATCTTTCTCTCTCAGATCAATGTTTCTCTGTGTGTGTGTGTGCTCCTCTCGTTCTCTCTCTCTCTCTCTCTCGCTCTTTCTTTCTCTCTCTAAAATCAATAAAAATGTATCCTTGGATAAGGATAAAAAAAATAGTATACATGTTAAAACCTCATTTTTATTTAAAAAAATACAAGTGCTCATACATATATTGATTTAAATTTGATTTTGGTACAAAAAAATTCTTCATGGATATAACCCCTCCAGTCCCCCCAAAATAGGTATTGATTCTTTTGAAATCCTTTGAGGAATAATAGATATATAATTTTTCCTTTAATTTGGGAATAATCGTCGCTTATTTATAAGTTCCAAAAGGAATAGATATATTTCAGCCATTATATATTTTTGTGAACAGAAAAAACACTTAGGACAGAAACTCTTAAGAGTTTCAAGGTCAACACATTTATTTGCTAATTGAGATGCTGTTTAGGATGCTTTTAGTTGCTAGAATAAAATAATTGATTATTATTATAACATTGTGCGTGGTAATAAAACTTAATTTTTCATCCTATTTCTACCCACGCATACACACATTTCTCAATAATTAATTTCTGAAACCATGGGTGGTATCTGCTACAAAGTGAAAACAGGAGTCTTCTTGCATGGCGAGTGCGGACAGCACCTCCTTGTGTGTCTTCCGGAAAGCGTGCCGCAACCAGCATTTGTGAAAGGATGCTTCATTCTCCTTTGACAGACGCCATTGAGACAAAAAGTCATTGTGGTTTACATTTCTTTTTGCAGCCCATAAAGACTGCCCTATCTGGAAGTACCCACCTTTTTAAGTGTGTTCTTGTAACAATTTTTTTTTGCACAGAAATACAATTTTTCCCCACAAAATTTCAAGGGTTTTAGAAGCCTCCTGAATATTATACATGAACGTGGCTGGAGAATAATTGCTCCAGAACCAAATTCTGAATCATACTAATCAAAAAGAGCAAAGAGAATATTAGAAAGTGAACTGAAAATAAATTATCAATAAAATAAGCATACATAATTTCTAAGTTAGTAACTTTTAATTGCACAATATATTCAATTACAAAATTATCTAAAATTACAAATCATAACTTAGGAGGGATAAAAATAGAAGAAAAAGAAGAACTATTTCAAAGTGAAATCAAATAACTGCCCTTAAATCTAACCCATATTTGTTAAAATCACAAATAGAAAACTATATCCATTATCAAAAATTTTGAGATAGAAGGTATTTAAAGCCATGAGTTGCTTTTTGACAAAGACAATCAAATTATCCCCCAAATTTTAAAATGGCCAACCAACCAATAAATGTACTAGTAAAAACCAGTACCTCTAAAATTAATGTTTACTTTTTTCCCCACCTAAAGGAAGGGGAGACACAGTTGTGTCCATGATGCCATTGTTCTTAGGAGATGGAATTTACCTATTTGCCCTCTTATTAATGGCTGAGCTGCAATCCTAGTTTCTTTGCTTTAGGAAACTTTCAAATCTCCAATCATTTGTCTATACTAGAGTCTATAGTACGCCATGCGGATTGCTGGGAGGGCAGTAATCCCCCCTAGAAGGCATTCTGAGTGTAGCAGCTTGCTCTCAATACCTGTGTCGTGGGCAGGGTCTAGTGTCCTCCCTAAGCAGGAACTCACATGCTCAGTGTGGCCCCGGCTCCTTTGCAGAAGCCCCAGCCTGGGTGGAGCCCTCCCACCTGCCACAGCTTCTGCTCCAGCATCCCTGTCACCCATCCTTAGTTTGAGGCTTACAGTAGAGGAGGTTGGGGTGGGAACCTACCAAATGAATTTGTATTCCCTTTGACTCTGTTGAAATAGTTATGATTTCCATCAAATCCAGATGTAAAATAGCAATTATTTTATCGATGGTTGTTGTATAAATTCACATATCATCTGCCTTCCCAGAAAATACATTGGTTTAAATTCCTGCGAGAAACATTAGTGACATCCTAAGATTCATTCCTGAATGTGAAGGGACTGATTATTATTTGAGGAATGTCACCAAGAGGTTGCTATGTGACCCTCCCTGCAAGGTGACAACAACCATCCATTTAGGCTTGTTTTCTGGGCCTGTTTTTATAAAGCTCCTTCCTTTCCCTTTTACATTTAAAACAGTCCTGGATTGGCCCACAAATCAGTCACACTCCTAATAACCTGATTGCATGGGGTCTGAAGGTGGGCTGGTGGGACAACAGAACTCAGTGCAGGAATTAGCAAGATAAATAGGGGTTAGAACATGGTTCCCATGCGGAAAATCCGAGCAGTGGTGCAGGAGAGGGTGCACCATGTCCTTCGGCCTGCAGACTCCAAAAAGGCCATGGGGTTCCACCTCTAAAAATATGAAGTGAAATACAGAAATGCAAAGAGCCCAGTCCCTCTTCTCAAAAATGATGGAATTGGGACCCCAAAGGGGGGAATTGACTCATCCAACACTGAACAGCCAGTTAATGTCTTGTGGAGACTCAAGTCCAATCCTCCCTGTGTTTGTCCGTATATTTCCAGTCTCCCTTGTCAGCTCCTCATGTTGTTCAGGACACGGTGACATCTAAAGGAATTGTGGCCTTTGTTTAAAAAGTCGTCTCTGGGTCCTTATTAGAGACCATTGGATTGCTTACAGGCTCACACTCTCACTTCTTGGCCCTCTCTTGGCCATGTAGTTGTCACATGCGTAGCAGGATGAGGATGCCCCACGGAGCCCTCGCGGGGCTATGTTAGAGCACCTGGAATCTGAAAAGCCCTTTAACTGGTTCCATGAGTGAGTGATTCAAATTCCTCCCCAGCCCCCAGAGGTTGTTACATCCTGAATGGTGTCCATTTCTGCCTCACAACCACTGTCTGAGGGCATCGGCTGTGCAGGTTGGGCATAGAGTAGGCCTCCTAATGCAGTCACCTGATACATATAGACATACATTCAGCTTTACAGTGTCAGCTGGAAAGTCAGCATTCTGTACCACAAAGGCCTGCCCTCCTGGTTCAGCCAAGTCCTTAGCATTCAAATTGGAAGACCCATATCCCAGCAACACCCCCATAGCCTCTTTGGGGTTAAGCTATATGTCTGAACGGAAATCATGTCTATGTCATAACTCTATTTACTTCTTCAGTCGCATCTCAGTCCTGAATCTGCCTTCATTCCCTCCCCCACCACCAGTTTTTGCTTCACTGGGGAACAGGAGCTGAGGATTTTAGCCAATGGGTTCTCACCTTAATGATATCCATCAAGACCTAAAACATGATCCTGAAGAAAACATTCATTAGGCAAAATGAAAAGTTAACAGACAAAATGACCCTGCCGTTGCCAGACTTCCTCTGTTGTTTTCTTTGTACCATTTTATTTCTTTTTAAAAAAATGTTGGTTTATATCCAGTTGCATATCAAACCAGCATCTCTTCTACATGCAAGGTATCTAGTTTGGCTTCACTGAATATCACTCAGAAAATGGGGTGGAATATTCAGCCTGTTGCACTGTCCCTGAGCTTCCCTCTCTCACGTGGAGACTGTGTTTTTAAAAAATTGAAATCTTTTATGTAAATTTTACGTGAGCAGATATTTCTGCCTAAGCAATTTGGTTACAAAAGGCTCTCAAGGAACTCAAGGAGCTCCAAATAAAGCATATGTCTCAATTAAAAAACAAAACAAAACAAAAACCTCAGTTGCAAAGTTATAATGATATGATTTCTCTGTGAGAGGAGTGTCGGGACTTATGATTAGTCTGTTTCCGTGTCCCAGCCAGAGAGTGACATTTCGTAGTTTGCCACTAGCCAATATATTTTGTTAAACCCAGTATTGTGTTTTATTGTCCTGCCAAACAGGTCCTTCCCTGCCCTTGAGCCCCGCTGTGGTGGTCGCCGTTGCCGTGGTGTTGGTGTTGTGTGTGGTCTGCTGCATGGCAGTGTGTGGGTCAATTGATCCATGTGTACACTGATGTTCCACTGGGGTTTTAACACTGTGTCTCTGTAACTGTTTGCGCTGCTAGCTGCTACACTGAAGCAACCATGCTGTTCTCAAGGCAGTCTACCCTTGATGATTTAGATGGACCAGAAACTGTTCCTAAAACAAGTGAGCGTGCTCGACCTGGGCTCCGTAAAATGCTCAGTTTGGATATGTCCTCCTCATCCGCTGACAGTGGCAGTTTAGCATCAAGGTGCTTAACTTGTGCATGCTTTGTTCTGATTTTATATCTCCGCCCCCGTCTCATGGCAACTAGAAGTTTGTGTGGTATATGTTTTCTTTTTCTTTTAAGAATTTGCATGAATAACCAAAGCATAACCACCACCTTCCTGGGACATACCTGGTTATTCCCAGGACAGCATTCTAGTAAACTAACTGCTCTTTAGTTTTTGTCTGTTAGGAGTTTCTTAAAAACCCTTATTATAAACATGGCCCTCCACTTTGTAAGTATGGTACACTTTTCACTTTCGAAGAAATAAGCATGTTTCCCCCTTGATTGAGAGCTCATGTAGGCAGACCTCACAGGGGGAGATGAGATGTTTCTCGTGATTTCATCAAAAGATACATGCGGTAGGAAAAATTACGAAAATTCGTCACATAGTGGTCTTTTTAATACAGAATAAATCTGCCCACATTTTATATGCATAACTGACATAAAAGTCAGAACAGATTTTACCATTGATTTTTTAAAAAGAATAGTATGCTGCAATAGATAGACTGGATCACATTTGTAGACTGACTTGTTTTGTTTAGAAAAGATGACTTTGGGCTTAAGTTTCCTCATTAAATCCTATCGTAAAATAATAATCTATTAGAAATGAAATGAAATCCAAAAACTCTTTTTTGAGTTGCCTTCGAATGGTCAGAAGGACACGGGAGCATCAGCTATGTTGTGCTTATCCTGACATCAAAATAACGCAAACCAAAACGAATTTCAATTTTGGCAAATCGGAGGGCCGTTAACCCCTTTTTGCCGGCAGCTATGTGCCCTAACACAGTGCTGCAGTCTGCCAGGCCTGGCAATGGTGGAATGCTTTGCCATGAGGTGTCCTCTGGCAGACACAGGCTGTGCTGTTCCACTGTGCTGCTTTCTGAAGGTACCAGGATCTGTTAAATCCCTTTGGGGACAGACCAAATCAAAAACCATAGAGAGCATTCCTGTCATTGGGTATAGTGTGACTGGAAGTTAGAATGGGTTGAAGCTGGCTCCAGTGGTTTAAAAATTCCCTGGGGTGATCCGTCAACTTCATGGCCTTCCTAGGAGGCTAATTGAGGTAAGTCTTAGCAAAACTCCAGTTTGGCATGACATTCCAAGAGCCTTCTACGTGATGTGCATGCATGCTGAGGGTCAAAGCCCTGGGAATACTAAACACCTGAGAAGGTCCCAAGAACTCATGCAAATCTGATTCTTCAGCCTCAGGACTCAGCCAAGTTTCATCCATTCATTCACTTACTCATTAACATGTCTACACTGGTGTCGATGACAAGAAAAATGGATATAGTCTATGCATTTGAGAATCTCAGTGTTTATGGACCCTAGTTGCCCACATACGCCATTCAGAGAGATAATAGTGCATGTTTCAGAATCTAACAAGTTATAGTTTTATATCCACAGATTCCACGGATGTGTCTGAGGTAAATAATATTAAAACGCATGCCATGAATTTCACTGGTGGGCCAGCTCTATTTTCATTCCCAACTTTTTCTGCATGGGCCTGCCAGGGAAAGTTAGAAGATAGAACACAAAAAGGAGGAGAGGAGGGTGCGAGAGAAAAGAACAGCAGGCCAGAAAGAGAGAGTGAGTTAAGGGTGGCGAGCTGATAGGAAGTGAACACTAGGAGGGGCGCTGGCAGAAGAAAATCAGTGGAAATAGTTGGGAGGAGAGAGAGCAGGACTGCCCCTTGAGGGTGGAGCAGGCAGCCCCCAGGAGAGATCACGCTGGTGAGAACATGGAGGGTGTTTCCATGTGTAGACAAAGAGGTTATCAGGAGGTGTTTGGGAGCTGGAAATGGTGAAAATTCAGTCAATGTAATGAGCACCAATAAGAAAAAGGCAAAGGGTGAGAAAACAGAAAGAACAATTATAAAAGAAGTGGGCCATCTTTTAAAATAAAGCATGCCATTGCTTAGCCAATATTTTATTATTCCTGTCGTCCTCTTCTGGATCTGGGTGGGCCCACGGCAGGGACTGAGAGTAGAGTTTATGTTGGTCAGCACCAACAGACCCACACCGGCAGGGCTTCTCACTTCCGGGCAGCCTGCTTTAAAGGGTATAGAGGGGTAGGTATGCTCTGCTGTGTCTCCATTGGGAGGTAAACACTGGAACCCATGGCTGTGAATCTTGAGATCACTTTTAAAGCCTCCATGCACAGGTGGGTTTAGCAGCGTGTAAGCCATGTGACTTGCTCTGGTTTTCAATGGGTGTGTGCCCTGCCAGCTCTTGCATTGAAGAAGGTGCTGTTGGCATCTGTAGACCAGGTGTGACTATCCTGAAGGAACAAAGCAGATGGGATGCAGGGAAGGGATTGTGGCCTTTGACTTCTCCCCTGTCTTCTCTGGGAGCACTAAGGAGGTATCTGGAGAGCTTGAGAGGAGGCAGAGGAGCTGGGTGCTAAGCCCCGGGTCTGTGCCCGTCCCTCTCTCCCGACAGCGAGCCCACGCAGTGCACCATGCTGTACTCGCGCCAGGGGACCACCGAAACCATCGAGGAGGTGGAGGCCGAGCAGGACGAAGTGGAGGCCAGCCAGGATGTGGAGGCCCAGGAGGACGAGGACATGGGGGCCCAGGACAGCGACGATGAGGAGGGCAGTGAGTCCGAGGTGGACATGGGGCCAGATGGGCTTGAGGGGTCCGAGGAGGAGGCGGACGAGGATGCGGAGGAGGAGGCGGAGGAAGAGGCAGAGGAGGCCCAGGACTCCGAGGAGTCCGAGGAGGCCGGCCTCACCCCGGACACGGAGTTGCCGCAGTCCTTCGCCGAGGACGGAGACATGGAGGTCCCGCCGTCCTACAGCAAGGCGGTCAGCTTCGAGCGCCTGTCCTTCGGCTCGCAGGACGACTCCGCGGGGCCGAGCCGCATGGCCGTCAGCCCCGACGACAGCCGCTCCTTGGACCGGCTGGGGTCCAGCATCTTACCGCCCCTGACGCACGAGCTGACGGCCAGCGAGCTGCTGCTGAACAAGTAAGAGCCCGTGGGAGCGGGAGGCGTCTGGGAGCCATGCGCTGGGGTTGCACCTGGAGGAAACTCGATGTAAAAGCGCCCACCTGCGTGTTTACAGCGAACAGACACAGTTCTCATCCTCCTCAGGCTGCAGATACAACCCAGACTGCAGCACGTCTGTCACTAAGGGCGGAACGAGCAAGAGCTGGCAGTAGACACTGCTCGGGTGTCTTCTGTGAGATAATATTGGGGGGGAGGGGTTCCACAGGAAATCTGGGGGCAGGGGGAGGGGGAAGGACAGGAAGGACCTTGAACTTGGCAATCCGTAATTTGGAGAAATGAACACAAAAGTATTGTCATGCTTATGCTCACAGGATGTTCCACGATGATGAGCTGGAAGAGTCGGAGAAGTTCTACGTGGACCAGCCGCGGTTCTTGCTGCTGTTCTACGCCATGTACAACACGCTGGTGGCCCGCTCGGAAATGGTGTGCTACTTCGTGATCATCCTGAACCACATGGTCTCTGCCTCCGTAATCACTCTCGTGCTCCCCATTCTGATCTTCCTCTGGGCCATGCTGTCTGTCCCGAGGCCCAGCAGACGGTTCTGGATGATGGCCATTGTCTACACAGAGGTAGGCCTTGAGCACAACCTCCGGCAAGCTGCGTGGGGCATCGGCGCTAGGTGGGCCTGCCCCGACTCCCGGGCAGTTGCACACAGAACTATCAGTAGATGTCTGTTCTTAGGCAGGTAAATGAATATGCCTGACAGTTACCTAGTGCTGGCAATTGTATATATCTTTTTACATTTCACGCCTCACACAAGATAGGTGCTAATATCATTCCTATTTAATAGTAAGGGACCAACTTTAATAAGGTTAAATCATTGGCCCAAAGTTACCCAGCTAGTGAGTGGTGGGGCAGACTCCTGAAGCCTGGTTGTCTGTCCTGTGATATTAACCACGGAGAGAACCACAGTGCTGTGCAGACCCAAGCGTAGTGCCTGAGCCTGGGAATGTTCCGTGAATGGATGCTGAATTAAATAACACAGTAAGCCCTTTAATATAGTTAGTGCAGCAAGAACATATCCCATTTTTAAACGTAGGCTTTAAATGGGAATAACAAGGGCCCATCAGTAGATGAGTGGATAAAAAAGCTGTGGTATATTTACACCATGGAATACTATGCAGCAGTGAAAAGGGGGGATCTCTTACCCTTTGAGACATCATGGACGGACAAGGAGAGTATTATGATAAGTGAAATAAGCCAGTCAGAGAAAGACAAGTATGTGGAATCTAATGAACAAAATAAACTGATGGACAAAATAGATCCAGAAGCATGGAACAAACTGTCAAATCTCAGAAGGAAGGAGTAGGTGAGTGGGTAAGAGGAAAGAGATCAACCAAAGAACATGTATACATACATGCATAAGTCATGGACATAGACAGTTGGGTGGTAAAGGCCTGGGATGGAGTGTGGGGTTAATGGGGCTAGAAGGGGTTAATAGGGGGGGGGGATAAAAGCAGACGTAAGTAATACTTTCAACAATAAAGATTTTTAAAAAATAAACAAAAAATAAACAGGGGCATGGACTCTATCAGATTTGTGTTTTTGCACGTTTTTATACAGAATGAAAGTGGACACATTGAGACCAGCTAGGAAACTATTTTAATTGTGGGTGAGAAGTAATAGGGTTTGAATGCAGTGACAATGAGGTTGAAGATGAGTGGGTAAATGTGGTTTTGGTAATTGACAAAAGCTTTTTGCGGTGTGAAGGAGAAGGGGAGAGGCAAGAATGACCTCCGGGTTTCTGCTTTGGAATTTGGTATGGGGGGATGTTCACTAAGATAAGAAACACAGGACTGTTCTTTGCAGAAGCTTGACTAAGAAGACAGGAGAGAGAGAAGAGCTAAAGGAAGACTCTAGGTCCAGAGAGGACTTTTTAAAGTATTTTTATTAATGAATTGTATATATTGCAATGAATTCCTGATGATATAGACATTAGAGGAATGCTTAAATGAAACCCATCAATTTTCTCATTTGTCCTTCTCTCTCAACATGCCACTTTTCTACAACATTTATACACTTATAACAGCACAAATGGCCAGTTTGTTTCATTCACTTTTATATCTTCTTGAGAAGAAATTCCAGTGAGCAATACAGTAGGGAGAAGAAAGAGATTGGAGTAAAGTGAAAATTGTGTACATCAAACCTGTGTAATATTGTTCATAAAGATTGCAAATTAAAGCGATACATAAAATATAAAGACATAAACATTATTCTGCTCTTGTGTCCTAATACCACACTTTAATAGCTGATAATTATATATGTATCAAATAAATCAATATAAATTAGCCTAATTCTCAAAAAATAGGGGGAATTATTTAAGCAGTGCCATGAGTGACCTGGCTGGCCCTGATATATCTACGATGAAAGGCACTCGCGAGGGTGAGGTTTAGCTCCTGTTCTGAAGTCAGTGGTCTGTGAGAATGATGATGTAATCATTCTACATAATTGTGGCATTTCTACCATCAAAACTGTGAAATGGACTTTTCTTGCTTGTTTTATATTGCTGTTTCTCCTATATAACTATTCTTATTCTTATAAGGATTTTTTTATTTCTATCATCCATGTGTAGGTGACAATTGTGATCAAGTATTTCTTCCAATTTGGGTTCTTTCCCTGGAATCAGCTGGTGGAATTGAACAAGGACAAACCTTTATACCCAACTAATATTATAGGTGTGGAAAAGAAAGATGGTTATGTTCTTTATGATCTCATTCAGCTCCTGACTCTTTTCTTCCATCGATCAATTTTGAAGGTACAGTTTTAACAGTTAACCAGCACGTGTTGATAATTGTCGCTGTAATATTCCTAGAGATGGTGAACATTAGGATTGGTGACAGTGCTGAAGGGTCAGTGATGGTGTCTACTGTATGCTTTAAAACACACACACACAAACAGTTATATTCATTTAGTGGACATTTTCTCCAATACTCTGTGCTCAGTAATGTAACTTGTAATAAATCTGGGAGCAAATTTCCCCATATTTCCACCCTGGGTTGAACATGCAATAATTAATTCACACATGTGGGAATTGCATACATTCTGTACAATAGCTTAATGCCTGATATGCTAAATTCTACTCCTACTTTAAGCCAGAACTTCAGAGAGCTACAATTTGGAGTGGATCATATTGCTTTTCATCTCCATCCCAACCTCTGCCTACCACCTGTAGCATTGCTTTTATTGGGTAGTTTTTTGTCATGAAGCCGCTAGCTTTTATACATTCAATGGTCTGGTGACACCAGTCTGTGCTTTGCTTCTTGGAAGCTCATTGTGAGAAAGCTGCTTATCACACTGCCCTGGGAAGACCTGCCTGCAGGGTGACCTGTCTCAGGGTCAGTGACTCTTGTCATCCTCCTGTGACTTACTAAGCAACTATGTCGGCTTCTTCTTCTTCTTGTAGACTATGAACTGCAAGCTAAGCTTGTACATGATAACAATTAGAAAGTATTGCATAGCATACACTTTATGTGATGATATACCTATTCTCACAACCTTACTTTTCTTCTCTTACCCATGTCTCCTTTTATAAAATATTTACATTTATTTTATCAAGTAGTATCTTTATTAGTTCCTGTTTAGAACAGGCTTGACCTAAGTTAATACATACACACACACATCCTATATAATAGAAGCATAATATAATAAAAGCATTTATTTGTCCTTTCGGATGAAGCGGGAGCTGCGAGGGCAGAGGTAGAGGCAGCTGCTGTGGCGCTGGGGGGCCAAGCCCCTTGCACGAATTTCGTGCATCGGGTCTCTAGTGTGTGTGTGTGTGTGTGTGTGTATGTGTGTATGTGTATGTGTATGTGTGTGTGTTTGAACTTGCCCAAAAGCACCATACATATATACCCATACATATGTAACACTATGTTCAACTTCTGTCATACTTAGTGGGCTATTTCAAATTGGGTTCATCTGTGTATAGATTTGGTCAAGATCTTTTTTCTCTCTTCTGTCACCTTGCAAAGTGCCCAAGTCCTTAACCTTTCATTTTGCAGTCACCTTACCTATGTTATTGGGTTGTGGCAGGTTTTCAAAGATATGTTACTCAAGGAAATCAGTTAGCCAAATTGAACTTGCCCAAAAGCACCAGTTTTTCTGATGAATATTCTGATTTTCTGAATTAATCCACTTTACTAATTCTTGTTATGAGTATATTAATATATTAACTTTATATCTTTTTAGTTCCAGAAACTAGTTAAAATTTCAGCATTTAAAACATAATGGTATAATTTTGGCCACTTTACAATTATCTTAAAACTTTTGTATCCTTTTGCATGTCATTTAAAATTTTTTATAAACCTTTAGGCATTTTTACTACTTTTCATCAATAATCAAATGGTTTAACAGCTACAATTTTATATTTAAAGTGTACAATAAACAAAATTTTGATATTTTATATTATATACTTTAATTTCTTCTTTGAAAATTTCATTTACTGTACATAGTGAATGTATATGAGATTTGAGGTACTAGTATTATGCTAAAATTTTGGATAATGATATGAAAAAATACTTTTGGGAATGATAAATCTTTTCATGAAAAAAAAACACCCCTCTTATAGAATGCTGCTATGGAAACCAAACAATGAAGACTATGTAGGAATTCCAAAAGTGGTTAAAACTATCCTATTTAGTATTAACTGCTGCAATTTTATAAATAATTAGAAGAATTAACAAACTTAAATGTACTACTAAAAAGTAGAGAAAGAATCTAAATATGTTAAAATGTTGGCAAAAGACAAAACAATTTTTAAAATGATTTGAAAGAAATTAGTATAAACTGAAAAATCCCACTATGAACACCTAAAATGTTTGTTTGTAAGAATACATTCATTTGATATGGTTAAAAATAGTATATCTATAAATAAATACTTAAGAGTCATTTGTAAATTAGGCGACTTTGTCTTTTGATGAACTAATTATTCTCTGAGTTGGTTTTTGACCAATTAATTTTTAGCAAATTGGCCTGGAGCTCTTATTCCCCAAAGTATGTGTCAGAGGGAGGACTGGTCAAGGCCTTGGGGAACAAATGCAGAGTCTGGCTGTCTGGGTGCCCAGGAGGCTGTGAGTTCATTGGGGCGTTTTGTCCAACAGCAGCAAGTTCAATTTAGCATGTCAGGGTGACTTGCGGTCCAGGTAGCATCATACTCCAGGAAGGCCTCTGCTTTCTCTCCTCCTTTTCCACTGTCATTTCTCCCCTCTTTACCAGCCCTTTCATCCCATTTCCCTGAAGCAAAACCCAGGCTCTGCAGAATGCATCATAATCTGTTTCACATGCGGGCCAGCATTCTTTGAGTTAAGTATTTGCAGCTCTGTTTCTGAGGCAGCCATGGATGAATCAAGGATTCACATCATGTGTTACGCAGCTTGGGTAGGGACAGCATTATTATTATTCAGGTGCAGATATTTAGTAAACATGGGGCAATGGGGCTAAATTCACCCACTTATACTTCAAGTTGATCCTTGGAGTGCTAGTCGTAAGCATAGAGAGGTGTGTTCTGAAAAGCACTTCTGCTCACGGAACAAGTCAAGAGATTGTAATTTTGCCTTTTTTCTACCTGCCAAACATCACCTGTCTCCATCTCACTTAATTAGCCAAACTTTTATCATCTTACCCACCCATATCCACTCTACTGGGACCATCATAAAATTATAGATAATAAGCTTTCTTAGAATCTCTCCCTGCCTTGGTTTTCTCATCTTTTTTAATTACTGCTTTACTGAGGTATAATCGACAAAATTATAAAATATTTAAACTGGACATGTGGTGATTAGATAAATGCATACATTGTGAAAGGATTCACCCATCTAGGTAATTAACACATTCATCACCTCACATATGTATTCTTTTTTTTAATGAGAATGTTTAAGTTCCATTCTCTTTGCAAATTTCAGTTACATAACAACAGATAATAGCACAGTGTTGCTAAAGATAGTCACTCTATTTTGCCTTTGGTTTTCTAATCTTGGGGAGAGTTTGTTTGATGAGATATTATAGGGCAGAACGCCAGCTCCCTCACCTGAAACAGCAATCTGAATTGTCCCTTCCCATGCTTTCTCAGTGCCACGGCCTATGGGATGAAGATGACATTACCGGCAGTGGGACCGACAAGGAAGAGTCAGATGATGAGCTGTCCCTCAGTCACGGCAGAAGGGACTCCTCTGATTCTCTGAAATCCATCAACCTGGCTGCGTCCACGGAGTCAGTGCACGTGTCCTTCCCTGAGCAGCTGACGGCTGTCCGCAGGAAACGTTCCAACAGCAGCTCCCAGATGTCCCCCAGATCCAGCTTTTCTTCAAATAGGTCTCAAAGAGGTATCCCTGGGCTGGAAATACCCCCTGAGGCTCTCCTTTTACTGGTGCCAGTGTGTCTGGGGCAGGGAGTTTGCTGGGTGCTACCAAGCAGACAGGTATTGTGATGTGAATTGAAAGTGCTTTGAAATCAGACAGACCCCGAGTTCAAGTGCTGACTCAGCTGTGTGTGTGACCTGGGGCAGTCACATCATTGCATTGCTCTAAATGTCGAATTCCTTCTGGGACAAGGACTCCAGATAAGGACTCCAGATAATCATGAAAAGTGGCCAGCATAGTGCTAGGACCTAATAAGTGGGCATACAACAGTTTTAAAGTCAGATCCACAGATTCTGCTGGGTGCCCAGAGTGCTGTAAATCACTTTTTTTTTTCAAAAATATATTTATATTTCATTGATGGGAACTTTCAGCTATACTATCTAATAATTTGCTCATATAGTTATTAACTGCTTTTTTTAAATATATTTTATTGATTTTTTTACAGAGGGGAAGGGAGAGAGATAGAGAATTAGAAACATTGATAAGAGAGAAACATCGATCAGCTGCCTCCTGCACACTTCCTCTTGGGGATGTGCCCGCAACCAAGGTACATACCCTTGACTGGAATCGAACCCGGGACCTCTCAGTCCACAGTCCGACACTCTATCCACTGAGCCAAACCAGTCAGGGCTAGTTATTAATTTCTTAAGCAGTGAGTGCAATCAGAAAGTAGATATGCCTTACCGTTGCCACTCTAGGAGTAACTGGGTATTTGTATTTGTACTCTTCCTGTATGAAACTTACCAAATACTTGTGTACAGTCATGCATTGTATGACTTTTTGATCAATAATGGACCACATATATGATGGTGGTCTACCATATAGCCTAGGAGGGTAGTAGGCTGTACCATCTAGTTTTGTGTACACTCTGTGTTGTTCACACAACCACAAAATTGCCTAATGACACATTTCTATACCCAAAGTATGTATCATTAATTGGTGCATGACTATATTCATCTTCAGGCAGATGCTGGAAGGTCCTCATATTCATTTTACAATTAGAGAAATGAGGACATGAGAAAAGGGATGGGCCATGGACCCAACCTGAAAAACCTACGACCTAGGCCCCAGGTAGTACTAAAAAAGCTGCTCTTCCCATGTGTTTCTTCTGGGACAAAGATCACATAACAATCCAGGGATGACTCAGCATTGGGTGAACAAACCCACAGATGCGTTTTACCACCGAAGCAGACTTGAGACAGCAGATTCCAAATGTTCAGTCACTGCTCTGACAGGCATGTGTGTTCGTTCTTCCCTCTGAGTCCGTTTCAAGCCATCCCTTTGCCATGGGGGTCCCAGGGCCTCCCGTGATACCTTTGTCAATTAGTCCGTGCCTCACAGTGCATCTTGGCTTCTTTCTATTCCTAGGCAGCACAAGCACCCGAAACAGCAGTCAAAAGGGAAGCAGTGTTTTGAGCATCAAGCAAAGAAGCAAAAGGGAACTTTACCTGGAAAAGCTTCAAGAACATTTAATCAGAGCAAAAGCACTTACCATAAAGAAGTGAGTGCATGCAAACACTTGGGTTGTGGGTGTTATTGTAGAGCTGGGGGACTTTGGGAAATAATTGATAACAATCATTTCATATATACCAAAGGTGAAGAACAGAGAAGCGGCTTCTCCTATCACAAATATCCTCTTGAGGCAGAAAAAAAATGACCCATTATTAAAAATAATGAATCACTTTTCAATAGGTGTGATTCATTTTTACATTTGTTGCACTTAGAAACACACATGTTCTATTTGAACAGGATAAATAAATAATCTCAGAAGCTCACAGTAGGTAATTCCAGGCATTATCATGGAAAAGACTACTGGATAGGGAGCAATTTCCTGTCAAAGCCGGAAGGGCCTCAGACATACACTCTCATCCTAGAGAGGAGAGACTGAGGCACGTGGTGGGGAGATGGTTTGTCGTTGTCATATACCCGGTCTCCAACAAAATGCACAGGTTCCTCCCAAGTGTCAGGGCTGCAGACAAACAGCAGATGAGGGAGCAACATAGAGGACGTGCAGCAGGGCTGGTCCTGAATACGGGCTCTGAGGCCAGGAGGGCCATCCACACCTGAACATGGCCTTGAACTAAAGGTAAAACCCAGAGCACAGTAAAGATGAGGCAGAGGCTGGACAGACAAGCCAGAGCCAGGAGGACATGGTAACAAAGGACAGAGCAAGGTGAACCCAAAAGCCCAGGGTACTCCCTGGGAACCACGAGAAGAGAGGCCCAGGACCCACCTGGGGGAAGGGCAGGGCTGCCTAACGATGACCTGGCGCCTGGTCAGCCCTTCAGGTCTAAGCACCCTGGTGTATTCCCATGTATTTCTCAGCCAAGCCCTATGCCTCAGGTCTTATTGCTACCTTCATTTTACAAAAGAGGAACTGAAAACTAGGAGAGTTAAGTAGCATGCTCAAGGTCTCACAGGTGCAGAGTAAATGAATCAGGTGACAAACCACCTAAATTTCAGGGCTTTATATCACTGCAGCACAAGAAAAAAGGTCCGTGGTCCCACCTTGCCAGTGAACTTGTATGCACTCTGTTCGAGCAGGAGCCACCCCCAGCAGGACTGTCCTGAGGCTGAGAGCGGGAGGTCTAACCCGTTTGGAAAGAGGACTAGAATGACTGTAGAATCTGGTCATTTCTCCACTTGTGCCTCTCCTGAAGCAAGGGGGTGGGGGTGTCTGTTTTGCAGGACTCTGCAAATATATGTGCCCATCAGACAGTTCTTCTACAACCTCATCCACCCGGACTACAGCGCCGTGACCGACGTATATGTGCTTATGTTCCTGGCTGACACTGTTGACTTCATCATCATCGTCTTTGGCTTTTGGGCCTTCGGGGTAGGTAAAGACCACCATGCAGCCACTGACTAATGGTCATGCTGTCCTGTGAAATGCCACTCAGGCCTGAACCTGTTGTCTCTTTCCCAGAAACACTCAGCAGCTGCAGACATCACCTCTTCTCTGTCCGAGGACCAGGTGCCCGGGCCGTTTCTGGTGATGGTCCTCATTCAGTTTGGAACCATGGTGGTGGACCGAGCACTGTACCTCAGAAAGACTGTATTGGGAAAGGTCATTTTTCAGGTCATTCTTGTGTTTGGAATTCACTTCTGGATGTTCTTCATCTTGCCTGTAGTGACTGAGAGGTAAGCTCTTTGAAGACTGTTGCTGCTGGGTAAGATGGGTTGGACATGGGAGATTTACAGAGAGTAGCTCGAAGTTTGATAGGGAAAGGCCTGGTAAGATCCTGGAGGCTGCTAATACCACTTTCCTTCTATCACCTTGAACCCTAAGCATCTTCTGTGTTAACCTTCAGTTCTCCTAGGACACCACGTCCTCCCAAATCTCAAAGCCCTTCCTTCTCTTCTCTTCCACCGTCATTCATAAGCCTTAAGAATAACATGTCAATAAGCCTGGCTTATTGGAAGTGTGAATGAAAAGTAATGAAAATGGATTGAACTTTACAACATTACGGTTGTGCATTTTTCTTTTTTTTCTTTTTGAGCTTTAATTTTGGACAGAGTAGCTGCAGCATCCACTTTGTGAGAAAATGTTAATAGTAAATTTACTTAACAGCAATTTATTTTATTTATGGCTTAAAAAACTGACTAATGCACTCGTACCTTAGGGCAGCCGTGGGCAAAAGACCGTACCCTTTTATGTAATGATGTTTACTTTGAATTTATATTAGTTCACACAAACACTCCATCCATGCTTTTGTTCCGGCCCTCCGGTCCAGTTTAAGAACCCATTGTGGCCCTCGAGTCAAAAAGTTTGCCCACCCCTGCCTTAGAGGCACCATTCATAGCATTTTTTTATTACTCTACCTTTTGCCTTTGAACTGATCAACTATACATAGTGAATATCTTAAAATTGACTGAATTGACTTAAATGCTAGAGGGGCAATGGGGCTTTTTAAAAATCCTAAACTGGTCTCCTTTTACCAGAAGAGGATTCCATTCCCTCACTTTCCTGAATGTTCTGTTTTAGGAAGTTCAGCCAGAACCTGGTCGCTCAGCTTTGGTACTTTGTGAAGTGTGTGTACTTCGGGTTGTCTGCCTACCAAATCCGCTGTGGCTACCCAACACGAGTGCTCGGAAACTTCCTCACAAAGAGCTACAATTACGTCAACCTCTTCCTGTTTCAAGGGTAAGGACACAGGCTGTGTGCCATAGCCGCTCACAGAGGGGAGGCTGCCAAGTGAAAGGCATTCTGCTTCCTACCTGGGAGGGAACAGGAAGAGGAAGAGTGCTGATGTACAGGAATGTAGATCATCACAAAACTCTTACAGTATTTAGCAAAAGAACAGATATGCT